AAAAGCCGGGTGTGGTGGCCACGCCTATAATTCCAGCACTTTGGGAGGCTGAGGCAGGTGGATCACCTAAGGTCAGGAGTTAGAGGCCAGCCTGGCCAACATGGTGAAACCCTGTCTCCACTAAAAATACAAAAACATTAGCTGGGCATAGTGGGGTGTGCCTGTAATCCCAGATACTAGGGAGGCTGAGGCAGGAGAATTGCTTGAACCCAGGAGGCGGAGGTTGCAGTGAGCTGAGATCATGCCATTGCACTCTAGCCTGGGTAACAAGAGCAAAACTCTGTCTCAAAAAAAAAAAAAGACTTTTTTTTCTCTTTTCAATTTTGAGGGGAAAAAATGTAATTGCCTATTTAAAGCATAAACAAAAACAGCATATTGTGGGGTTTACACCATGTTTCACTTGGATATATGACACAGCAACACAACCAACCAAGAACAGGTCAGAAGCAGGAGGCCGTAGTCAGAGAACTGCCCCAAGGCTCAGGCAGGGTAATACCATGAGAGTAGACAGCGACAAGTGAAAGATGTAGCGGAAAACCCCAGAGATGACAGATTTAAACCCAAGTGGTCTAAAGACTCCAAGTAAAAACCAGAGGTTGTCAGGCTGAATAAAGAAGCAAGACCTAATTATATGATACCTGAAAGAAATCCACTTCACACATACACAAAGGTTGAAAGTGAAAAAAGCTAAACCTGGCAAACGCACCACACAAATACCAAATCAGAAGAAAGGATAGTAGTCAAACCAAGGTGACTTCACAACAAAGAACGTCACCAGAGATAAAGGGGGTCAAATTTACGAAAATGATGTAAAAATCCTAAAAGTGCGTGCATCGTATAACACAGTTCTCAAATACATGAAACAAAAACCGCAGAGCTGAAAGAAAATAATCTGTAATTAGCATGAGATTTCAATTCTCCTCAGAAGAAAGATGAACTAAGCAGTGAAATTGCTTTTCATGCCTCCCCAGCACAACGGAGCTACTCCAGGGAAACAAAGGCCAGTCGCTGGGCCTGATCTCCCCAGAATGCTGAGACCGGCTTCTCTGTAAATAAATGACTGGTATTTGCTAGGAGAAGAATCCTTACCTATGAAATGTTTTTAGCAAGATGTGGTTAGTTTAGGATTGTGTTTGGTAAACATACCTAAAATCCAAGGACTTATGGGACATGGTTCCCTGGAAAACATTCCCTAAAGTGTATAAACTATTTGACTACAAAACGGAAACACTACGCATCCTTAATGCTACTTGTGCAGTGAGATGAGGACACACCTCAGTGAGAGGACGACGCACCTCAGCACCTCAGCGAGAGGACGACGCACCTCAGCAGCTCAGCGAGAGGACGACGCACCTCAGCAGCTCAGCGAGAGGACGACGCACTTCAGCGAGAGGACGGCGCACCTCAGCACCTCAGCACCTCAGTGAGAGGACGCACCTCAGTGAGAGGAGGACGCACCTCAGTGGGAGGACGACGCACCTCAGCGGGAGGACGACGCACCTCAGCAGCTCAGCGAGAGGACGACGCACCTCAGCACCTCAGCGAGAGGACGACGCACCTCAGCGAGAGGACGACGCACCTCAGCACCTCAGCACCTCAGTGAGAGGACGACGCACCTCAGCGGGAGGACGACGCACCTCAGCGAGAGGACGACGCACCTCAGCACCTCAGCGGGAGGACGACGCACCTCAGCGAGAGGACGACGCACCTCAGCACCTCAGTGAGAGGAGGACGCACCTCAGTGAGAGGAGGACGCACCTCAGTGAGAGGAGGACGCACCTCAGTGGGAGGACGACGCACCTCAGCACCTCAGTACCTCAGTGAGAGGACGCACCTCAGTGGGAGGACGACGCACCTCAGTGGGAGGACGACGCACCTCAGCACCTCAGTACCTCAGTGAGAGGGCGCACCTCAGTGGGAGGACGACGCACCTCAGTACCTCAGTGAGAGGAGGACGCACCTCAGTGAGAGGTCTCATCTCTCAGGCGGAGTTCAAACAGGACGGACCTGGGGGAGTTGCACAGACTGTCCCATATCTCTTCCTGCTTTGCCTGAGCACACAAGTGAGGATATTACTTGTATCTTTAAAGTTCCTAAGTAATCTGGTACCGATAAAATCTCTGAGATTCACGTCAAACTAATGTGGTAATCCAACCTTGCGTGTTAGTTCAACTCCTCTCCTAACAGTGAATAGAACAAGTAGGCAGAAAATTATTTCAAGTCAAGGATACCTGAACACTGACAACTTGATCTCACTAAGCATTACAGAGCAGCAAAATACACTTTTTTTTTTTTGAGATGTAGTCTCACTTTGTCACCCAGACTAAAGTGCAGGGGTGCAATCGAGATTACAAGTGCCCACCACCACACCCAGCTAATTTTTGTTATGTTTGGTAGAGACGGTTTCACCATGTTGGCCAGGCTGCTCTTGAACTCCTGACCTAAAGTAATCCACCCACCTCAGCCTCCCAAAGTGCTGGGATTACAGGCATGAGCCACAGCACCCAGCCATTCTTATTACGTGTGCATGAAACATTCCACAGAATACACCATATTCTGGGGCTTAAGACAAGCCTCAACAATGAAATCACAGAATATGTTCTCTGACTACAACCAGTTTAGAAATTGTTAACAGGAGATATTTGAAAATCCCCAAATATTTGAAAATGAAATAACACATTTCCAAATAATAAGTGGGTAAAAGAAGAAATTAAAAGGGAAATTAGAAAATATTTTCAACTGAATGAAGATGAAAATGAATAAACATTTCCAAATTTGTGAAATGTGGCTAAACAATGCTTAGAGGGAAATTTATATTATAGTTTTGAACACTTGTTAGAAAAGACAGAAAATCGAAAGTCAATGATCTAAGCTAAGCCTTTAACTTAAGAAACTAGAAGAGACAGAAGAGTAAATGGAACCCAAAGCCAGCAGAAAAAAGGAAATAATAAAGAGTAAAGCAGAAATCAATGAAAAAGAAACCAAACAAAATCACTAAAACCAACAACTGGCTCTTTGAAAAAACTCAAACTGATAACTTCTAGTAAGACTGAACAAAATGGAAAGAGAGAAAATACAAGGCACATTTCAGCAAATTTCTGGATAACAGACAGTATGTGCTGGTACTTACTACATGCAAGATAATAGCATACGCACTTTGTCTGGCCTACTGTACTGATCCCATAATAACCTACAAAGTGGGTACTATTATTAACTGCAGATACGAATTTTTTTCTTTTTTTTTTTTTCTTTTTTTTTTTTTTTGAGACGGAGTCTCGCTTTGTCTCCCAGGCTGGAGTGCAGTGGCACAATCTCGGCTCACTGCAAGCTCCGCCTCCCGGGTTCACACCATTCTCCTGCCTCAGCCTCCGAGTAGCTGGGACCACAGGCGCCCGCCACCACACCTGGCTAGTTTTTTGTATTTTTAGTAGAGACAGGGTTTCACCATGTTAGCCAGGATGGTCTCGATCTCCTGACCTCATGATCCACCCGCCTCGGCCTCCCAAAGTGCTGGGATTACAGGCTTGAGCCACCGCGCCCGGCCACGAATTTTTTTCTTAAGAGACAGGGTCTGACTCTGTCACCCAGGTAGAGGCACAATCATAGATCACTGCAGCTTCAAACTGCTGGCCTCAAGTAATTCTCTCACCTCAGCGTCCCAAAGTGCTGGGATTACAGGTGCAAGCCTGGTGTCACAAATTATTTTTATATATGTACATTTACACATGTACGTCCATGCAAGGAAAAGAAAGTCTGAATATCCACACCGAAGGGATAATAGTGGCTAACTCTTAGAGGAAAACTGAAATTTGGGTGGGCAGTCAGGTGAAATTTCTGCTTTATAATCTATGTATTTTTATAAAAAAACATTTATTCCATGTATATTTTTAATTGGAACAAAAATGCATCAGACATTTCAAAAATTGAATTACACAAAAAAAAAGTATGCATAGAATAAATATATGGGTTTTACTGGTTTGGATAAAGGCAAAAGATTATGAAAGTCCATCCACAATAAAGAACTCCTATAACCCAAAACAAAAAACTTAATTAAAAAATGGGCAAAAGGGCCAGGCGCAGTGGCTCATGCCTGTAATACCAGCACTTTGGGAGGCCGAGGTGGGTGGATCACTTGAGGTCAGGAGTTCAAGACCAGCCTGGCCAACATAGTGAAACCTCGTCTCTACTAAAAATACAAAAAATTAGCCAGGCACAGTGGCAGGCACCTGTAATCCCAGCTACTCGGGAGGCTGAGGCAGGAGAATCACTTGAACCCGGGAGGCAGAGGTTGCAATGAGCCGAGATTGCACCACTGCACTCCAGCCTGGGCAACGAGAGCCAAACTCTGTCTCCAAAGAAAAAAAAATGGGCAAAGGATTTGAATAGACATTTCTCCAGTGAATGTATAGTAATGGTCAATAAGCATGTAAAAAGATGCTCAGAATGACTAATCAACAGGGAAATGGGAAATGCAAATCAAAACAATGAGATGCTGTACCTACTCACAAAAATTAGGATGGCTATCATCAGAAAAGAAAAAGTGTTGGTGAGGATATGGAGAAATTGGAACCTTGGTATACTGCTGCAAGAATGTAAAACAATGTAGCCACTGTGGAAAACAGTTTACTGGTTCCTCAAAAAGTTACATGTAATGCCAGGTACAATGGCTTACACCTGAAATCTCAGCAACTCAGGAGTCTGAGGCAGGAAGATCCCTTGAAGCCAGGAGTATAAGACCAGCCTGGACAACACAGTGAGATTCTGTCTTTAATTAGTCAACTGTGATGGCTGGGTAACCATGTGAATATACTTAATGCCAATGAACTGTACATATAAAAATGGTTAAAACGGTAAGCTTTATGGTATGTATATTTTACAATATTTAAATTTAATTACATTTTTAAAAATTGTTACCAAAAAAATACTAAGAATCCATCCAAGTTATATAGAAAAGGAGTATCAGATCAAGCTTTCCAAAGTGCCAAAACTCACAAGATTACCTGGTTGCTTGCCCCATACCCAGCTTTCCAGGATTGACTTGGCCCTATATACGGGTGCAGGAGTTTCTTCTTCATCCTTTTTCTCTTTGTCATTCATATCTTCTTTCTTTGTTCCACCCGGTTCGACACTATCATCTGCAGAATTAAAAATATTTTAATCTGTAACTGCTTTTCAGAATGCCATACCATTAGTCTCTGCAAATGTCCCTCCCCGAAAAGTTACAACACACATCATTAACTGAATGTTTGACAACTTAAAAATAAAATACATCAGTCACACCTGTAACAGATCCAGTACACCTGTCTCTTATACACATCTAGATGTGTATAAGAGACAGTCACACCTGTAACAGATCCAGTACACTTTTCATAAAGAAACCAATATATCACCCGGGCACAGGGGCTCATGCCTGTAATCCCAGCATTTTGGGAAGCCAAGACGGGCAGATCACAAGGTCAGGAGATCAAGACCATCCTGGCTAACACAGTGAAACCCTGTCTCTACTAAAAATACAAAAAATTAGCCAGGCATGATGGCGGGCGCCTGTAATCCCAGCTACCCGGGAGGCTGAGGCAGGACAATGGTGTGAACCCTGGAGGCAGAGCTTGCAGTGACCCGAGATGGTGCCACTGTACTCCAGTCTGGGCAACAGAGCAAGACTCTGTAGCAAAAAAAAAAAGAAAAAGAAACCGATATAACAAATTATTCAAAGCATGTCTTCCAAAATGATATTCCATCAACTTCCTAGTACACTTCACAACTGAGAAACTTAGTCTTTGATATTCACCTACTTCAATTTCACACCAATTGCCTTTTTCCAGTGAGTCCCAATGCTTGTGTATACATGGGAAAAGGGAGGGTGTAGAACAGGAGTATGATTCAAAAATCTTTCAACTCTTTACAAGGCCCTACTCCACTGCCAACTGAGAAGCACTGCTATGCAGGGGCGCTGTCACTGAGAGCAGAATTCAAGAGCACTGGGACACAAAGGAAAAGCTGAGAACAATGACTTTAGGCCACTGACAATGTGAAGTTTCAGTCAAAAACAACTGTCATAAAACTCCTTACATAGTAAGCGAAGAGCAGAGAGAACTAACCTTAACCTTGAAGTGTAAACACGTTCCATTACACAAGGCTATTACTAAACATCCAAACAACATAATTAGAAAAATGTATCGAAATCGGTGAAAGACATGATATCCCATCCAAATTACAAATAATGAGTGCCTAAAAGTCTCTAAGGAAACAGATCCTCTGTTTACAACACTTCTGACACCAAATGGATGGACTTTTGCACAAGGCAATTCTCAGTTCTCTGCAACACCCATCTACGTGTCCCACAGTGCAATTCAATTCTGAAACTAACTACCTAGAATTAGCACAGACCCCACAGGTTAATAACAGGAAAGAAAAGGTATAATGCTGAAAAAAATATCCAAAGAACTAATGGCTGAAAACTTCCTAAGTTCAGCAAATGGCATAAACCTAGGCAGACTGAAGAATCTAGGCAGACTGAAGAAGCCCAAACAAGATAAATCCAAAAGAAGCCATGACTAGGCACATCATAATCAACTGCTAAACACTAAGGACAAAACCTTCTGAAAAGTGCCACAGAAAGCAGGTGTAGAAGAGTGTGTTGTGGGGCCCGAAATCAAGGCTAAATATTACGTGCTGCCTTGACGTCAGTAAAATCAAGAAGGCCTCAAATAGCCTAACCACAAGGTCTCCCCCCAGCTCTGCTCCCACGGATAAGGTCCCAAAGCCAAACAACCCTCCTTATCATGGAGACCCGACCCCAGCCTGCTCATCCCTGCCGGCCCAGAGTTATTCAAACAAGCCAATCACATCTTCCCATGGAAGCAAAGTCATCTCACCCTCTTCTTACTACAAAATGTGCCTCCCACAGCCCCTGGTGGTTCACTCTGTTCCCAAGTGCAGCCCCCGTGTGGCATGCGGTGTCCCCCACCTCCAGGGCTGTGAGCATGCATGACTAATAAACTGCTATTTCATCTGTCCAGTGTCAGTGTCCTATGTTCAGCCATCCCATATCCCTAGGGCAGGAATCTTCTAGGGTTATAAACAGAACTTAAATCAACCTCTCCTTGGTTATTTTACTGGTTCCATGATACAGCTGCTTCTGTGCAAAAGATCTGAACAGAAACTTCACAGAGGATACAAGAGTGGCAAAGAACATGATATTCAGCATCATTAGCCATTACGGAAATGCAAATTTAAACCACAATGAGATCCCACTAGACTTGTTAGAATGGCTCAACTAAAAATCACTGATAACACCAAGAGCTAACAAAGACACAAAGCAACAGAAACATGACAGATTGCCAGTGGGAATGCAAACTAAAACAGCCACTTTGGAAAACACTTCAGCACATGATCCAGCTTTCACACTACTAGGTCTTTATCCTAGGGAAATGGAAACTATATTCACACAAAATCTGTACAGAAATGCTCACAGCAGGATTACAATTACAAAAGAAACATGGAAACAACCACAAGGTCGTACAACAGCGGAATGGATAAACACAATGTGGTACATCCAAATGATGAAACACTATTCAGCAATAAAAAGAACTATTAATACACAGAACAACAGACAAACCTCAAACATATCACTGGGAGTAAATGAAGATGGTTTCAAAACGTTAAAGTATGATTCCACTTACATGACATTCTCAAAAAGAATACCCTATCCTGATGGAGAATAGATCAGTGGTTGCTAGGGTACGAGGCCAGGGAACATGTGATAAAAAGGAGTAGCACAAGGGAGCTTTTGGGGTGATGAAACTTCTCCATCCTGATGATGGCGGGGGTTACATGAATCTACAGAACTCATAATTTACTTAACTAGGGATCACAATAAATTTCATATGTTTTTTAATTTAAAAAATGTTGGCTGGGTGTGGTGGCTCACACCTGTAATCCCAGCTACTTGGGAGGCTGAGGCAGGAGAATAGCTTGAACCTGGAAGGCAGTTCATGCCACTCAAAAACAAACAACAAAAAAAAAGTGAAAATAACCTAATATGTACTATACAAAGCATCTGGCCTACCAACAACACATTACCCTTTTAAATCTTTACAAAAAACCTTGAAGGAGACAGGTTTTGTTGTCTCCAGTTTACCAAGGTAGACACCTGGGATCACAAAATACAGAGCAGAACCCAGCCAGGAACACAGCTCAGGTGAGAACACAGGTGCTGGCACTAAATGCCAGACTCTGCACTACATGTATGTGTGCATGTGTGTATGTGTGCGTGTGTGTGTGTGGTCACTAACCACAGCCCAGGGGCCAAACCCAGTCCACAGCCTCTTTCTGTATGGTCTGAAAGGAAAGAAAGTATTTTACTTTTGTTGTTCTTTCGAGACAGAGTCTTGGCTCACCACAACCTCCACCTCCCAGGTTCAGGCAATTCTCCCGGGTTCAAATGATTCTCGTGCCTCAGCCTCTGAGTAGCTGGGATTACAGGCGTGCACCATCATGCCCAGCTAATTTTTTGTTTTTAGTAGAGATGGGGTTTCACCATGTTGGCCAGGCTGGTCTCGAACTCCTGACCTCAGGTGATCCACCCACCTTGGCCTCCCAAAGTGCTGGGATTACTGGTGTAAGCCACCACGTCCGGCCACCGTATTTTATATTTTTTAATGATTGAAAAATAATCAAAAGGAAAACAGTAGTTTGTGACTTGCAAACATTCTGTGAACGTCATCTTTTGGTGTCCATAAATCAAGTTTACAGAATGAACCTCCCCTGCCCACTGACGTAGTGTTGTCTGTGGCTACTTTCGCACTACAGCTGCAAGGGCCCCTGGCTATGACAGAGACCATATGGTTCACTGAGAGCTTAAAATATTTACTATCTGGCCCTTTAGAGAAAGTATGCCACCCCTATCCTCCATCTGGCTATAAATTTTACAAATAAAAAAAATGCAACATTCATAATTTTAAACTCAGTACACTGGAACACTGCTCATCTCCCTTCTTCAAGACGAAAAGCTTCGACAGTCACCAGGAAGCAGACAAGAACCCTAAGTACACCTCAAGTGTTATTCTCAGGAGCATAAATTACAACACTTTACAATAGCAAAAGCAGGATGAAGTCACTGGTGGCCATGAAAACAACCAAGAATAATTAGCACCATCAGCTCAAAGACCACACCACATCAGCTTCAATATTCGTCTACTTTTCCTTTCACTACTGTAGGGTTCAAAGTATACATAGAGAAAATTGAACACATACTGCCCAAACACATTGCTTATAGAATGCTGGAGAGAAGGGAAGCGAGACCTCCCATTGGCCAGGTGTGGTGGCTCACGCCTGTAATCCCAGCACTTTGAGAGGCCAATGTGGGAGGATCACTTGAACCTAGGAGATTGAGACCAGCCTGACCAACACGGCAAAACCCCATCTCTATTAAAAATACAAAATCAGGCTGGGCACGATAGCTCACATCTGTAATCCTAGCACTTTGGGAGGCCAAGGTGAGAGGATCACTTGAGGTCACAAGTTCGAGACCAGCCTGGCCAAGATGGTGAAATCCGTCTTTACTAAAAATACAACAATTAGCTGGGCGTGGTGGAGGGCACCTGTAATCCCAGCTACCCAGGAGGCTGAGGCAGAGAACTCAGGAGGCGGTGGTTGCAGTGAGCCGAGATCATGCCACTGGCCTCCAGCCTGAGCAACAGAACAAGACTCCCTCACGAGAGGAAAAAACAAACAAAAAAATTCATCAAATGTAATGAATAAAACATATACTTTGGATTTTTCCATGTACTTAGCTTTTCTTGAAAAAAAAAAATTTTTCAAAAAATGTATTCAGTGTATCTAATACTGAAATGGAGAAAAGACTTAATGTTAAAGAAAAAACAAAACAAAACAAAAAGCACTATAGACACTGACATGGAAAAGATATTTAATGTTAAAAAAAAACTATATTAACTGAGTAATACCTCCCGATGAGAAGTGCTATATTAAATATAAACCTATTATGTTGTTTAAAAAAAAAAAAAGATGAAAATCAAAAGCACTATGCAGAGTGAAAGAAGCCAGACACAGAAGAACCTGACTACATGATTCAATTTATGGAGTTCTAGAACTGGCACAATCTGTCAATGCTAGAGAAACATCAGACCAGTTATTGACTCTGGGAAGAAGGGGCAGGACACGAGAGAACTTTCTGAGCAAGAGTCATGATAAAGATGTGGGTTACACAGGTTACATTTGTCAAAACTTGTGAAATGGTGAACTCAGATGCGTTTCATTATATATAAATTTTACCTGAAAGTCAAAAACATAAAGTTTAACTAAAATCAATTACATACATGAGTGTCTAAGGAGCTAGGTGAGACAAACAGTGGATGGACAGACGGCAGGATGTGGAGCCAAACCGCAGCCACTCACTGTACACGTCTGTCAGTTATTGTGCGTGTGTGTGTGAATATTTTCAAACAAACATTAAAAAAAAAAAAAACGGGTAACTGCTTGACACTGAAACTGAAAAGGGAGACTAATACTTTTTCCCATGGTTTGTTTTGGTTTTTTTTTAGATGCAGTCTCACTCTGTCACCCAGGCTGGAGTGCAGTAACACAATCTCAGCTCACTGCAACCTCCACCTCCTGGGTTCAAGCAATTCTCCTGCCTTGGCCTCCCAAGAAGCTGGGATTACAGGCGCCCGCCACCATGCCTGGCTAATTTTTGTATTTTTTAGTATAGACGGGGTTTCACCATGTTGGCCAGGCTGGTCTCAGACTTCCAACCTCAAATGATCTGCCTGCCTCAGCCTCCCTAAGTGCTGGAATTACAGGCATGATCCACCGCACCCGGTCCCCATGTATTTTCAAGTGGACACTATCCCAATTCATTCTACAAAAGAAGAAGAAATACTTTCTTCAGTCTAATGCTCTCCCAACTGAGCTATTTCAACTGAGAAGAAATACCTTCTAAAGTGGTAGCTTTATCCATGTTGATGACTCTCAAGTAGGAGGACCAACA